TGATTCTGCCTTAGAGCAGTTGCAGGTTCCTGCGAATTCCATGCGAAAAATTTTCAAAATGAATGAATTCAAACGCCTAATCAAAATTGAGAATGTGCCATATCGGACAATACATCCTGATGCAAAAAAGTTGACTGCAATTCTGGAATCATATAAAAATAATTAGTTATTGGAACTTTTTATACAATCTATGCTGTCTCTTCCCTCTTCCTCAGTCAAATCCATCCTCTATAGTCATCTGAGCCTCAGACAAGTTTTAACCTCCCATCTGTCATGAGTAAGCATTCTCAGCATGACCTGAAATTGGAAGAGAAATATTTTGCATGAATCAAAGCAGAAATATGTTCAGGATTTCCTCAAGGTGACTTGTTGAAAGAAGCTGTCAGGTCATGTTTTCAATAATCCTGACAAAATTGCATATCCTCTTAGATCTGAATGAAGTTACTGTAGTCCTTCTCCCAAAGAAAAGCAAGAGAACATTGCATATGGAAGGCATGTGACAGGATACAGAATGCAATAGCATGCATTATTATTGCATGTGAGAGGATGGATGTCTCAACATCTTTAACCTGTCACCCATACCATACTCTCCTCATCTAAATACAGATGTTGTACCCATACAGAACTCTCAATTGTAGGCTTTCCTCCCAAAGTAAAGCTCTCTGGTAAACTAACACTCCGTCTAACCTGCTCAACTTTTTCAAATCTCTCTTTTGTCATTTACCAGGTGCACTAGGGTTATATACACTTGAGTAGGCCCAAAAGTGACCTGCTCTGGGAAGGAAAGACTGACAAGCACCTCCCCACAAACTAGGCTTAGAGTATAAATCAGTGGAAAGCAAGTGAATTTCATGACAGCCCAGATGGCAGAATGCTGCTCATTTGTGGTCCAACAATCAAGTTTCATTAAAATGACACTTTTAATGAACATCTAATGTCAATTGTGCAACCAAATGTCTACTGCCAGACTGTAATGTGCAATAACCAGGCTTTGTGGGGCAGATGGAGGTCTTTTGTGGGCCACCTGTTGCTGAGCACTGGTATAAAGATTTTATATATACCAAACCCTGTTGAGGCTGGCCCTTTTGTCTTCTCAGCTTTCATGAGTATTCATCAAACCATAACTCTGGCAACCATTAAGGTATAGAACATAATCTTTGTAGAAAAATGTGGACACACACCCAAGCCTCAATTATGTGTTTTCAGTATTAAAACACTAAAGAAAACATATCAAGCCTTCAAAAAAAGGAAATCTCTTTCTCTCTTTCACCTTCTGGGGTTTATTTGACAAGAAGGTCAAGCCTATCCATCATCAGTAGGCCCTTTGTTCCTGTCTTTGAGTGCCAACAGGACGATGACACTTGGACAGAAAATCAGTGAATTCTTCATACGGAGATTGGGTGAATACAGTCTCCTTCCACAAGTCTGGTGTCAAGTAGGCATATGTCTGGGCTATTGCAGCATATGTAGCCTTGGCTGAAAAAAGTCCATAAATAAGTTATTAGAAAAATGAGGAATTCAAATATTTAAAAAATATTGTGTTCTCTCTCTAAGAATATTTACCAAAATTGCCCAAGGTGCATGTTGAACCACGTGCTGAAGTGTAGCAATCCTCAATCCCAGCCATTTGAAGCAGTTTTTTGGGAACAGCAGCAGCCACAATACCTGTTCCCCTAGGTGCTGGAATAAGTCTCACCAGAACACTTCCACATTTTCCAGTCACCTGACCATACCATGAAAAGTAACCAGAGATCAGGGATTCATCTAATATTATGACAAGAGTGAAAATGCTAGCAATGTATCACAACAACTAACCTTGCAGGGCACAGTGTGTGGTTTGCCAATCTTGTTACCCCAATATCCTCGTCTGACTGGGATGATGGAGAGTTTGGCAAGGATAATGGCACCTCTGATAGCTGTTGCCACTTCCTTGCTGCATTTCACTCCAAGACCAACATGTCCATTGTAGTCACCAATGGCTTTCAGTAAAAGATTAAATAAAAGATGGGCTCATAAAGGATAAAACTTAGTATAGCAAAGGCCTAATGCCAGGCACTTCCTGACAGCAAACTCAGCATTGACATACCAACAAAAGCCTTGAATCTGGTCCTTTGACCAGCTCTTGTCTGCTTTTGAACAGGCATTATCTTGAGGACTTCGTCTTTGAGTGAGGATCCAAGAAAAAAATCAATGATCTCAAATTCTTTGATGGGCAGAGAGAAGAGATAAATTTCCTCAAGAGATTTGATCTTCTTATCCTTGACAAGTCTTCCAAGTTTGGTGACAGGAACCCATTCCTTTTCACCTTCCTTTCCTCTTCCTCTTCCTCTACCCCTTCCACGTCCACGTCCTCCTCTCCCCCGGCCTCTTCCACCAAAGCCTCCACGGAAATCACCACGGGCTGGAGCAGCGTCCGCCATTGTGGTTCTTCACACAATGTTCTAGAGCCAAAATGGGAAGTAGAAAATTTAAAATAAGCTCCAAAAAATGAAGAACTCCTAGAGGAGGGGAACATTTTCATTCTTGTCCCATCTGAATGGAATGACTGGTTGGCAGGTCCAAGAGTGAGCCCAAGTGAGGGCTAACCAATTACCTACCCATGTTAAGCAATTATCTCTATTGTTATTCAAACATAAAAGCCTAAAAAACTGCTAAATATCTTTGAAGTAACCTTGGATGCACTTGGAAAGAATACTACTCTAATGACCATAGCAGAGGATTTTTAACTCTCCTAGGCCAATAAGGGGTGGTTTTGATACCCCAGTTGAAATTTTCTGTAGTGTCACAGTGGAACTTTTTCCCTCGTGCTTCCTCTCCTGTACAATCCTCAAAAACATATCAAGTGTAACAATAAGTGTGTTATGAACAATGAACTGTGTGAAACCTTTTGCTTCCCTAGTCTTGGAAATAGACTGAAGTAGTTTGGATACCCTGCACAGGCTTCAGAGTTCACTGAATTATTGCACAGGTCTGGGAGGGTTAATCAAGCCTCCTGACAACAGAGCCTATAAGTTAAATTCTTAGACCAGGTTGAATCCTATTGCCTCTATTACTGCTTCAAAAACTATAATTATCTTGACTCATTTTACTTATCGACAAAGTTCCCTATTTGATTTAAACTTTATCTAGGGAAGGCTTCATCATAAATCATAAAGAGGATACTAATATTATATGGCTTCCTTTAATTTCCTTGGATGATGTAATCAACCCAACTGACGTCTTCATTTCCATTAATCATCCTCTCCAAGGAGCAAAACTTTCCTCATCTAAACTAATTAATGCAGACTAATAATTTTTTCTGTAAAAGCTAAAGTTTCACAAAATGTTCTAAATTAAAACTACTAAATTTCAATGGCTTCATTTTTTATGAATCTGAGGTGGTTAACCCTTTTATGCACAAGCGCACCATATGTCATGCTTTTGCCATTGCATCGTATTTTTCATTTTCCTTTGTATTTCCTAGTTTGTATGATGGCAGCACTCATCAAGGTCATGAGGAGTTAGTTTATAAGTTACAACATGAGTGGTGGTTATTGTGTCAGTTTTGGCATTTTCAAGGTTTAAATCTTCAAGATGGATGTGGGATGATTTTATGATGGTGAGGTCTAATTTCTTTGCAAATAGTTGTAGATTTAACCTGATATACTTCCCTTCCAATAAATTTTGAGTAAAAAATTTTGATGGCATTAAAGTATACTTTTTACAATAGCTTTTGAGATTTACGACAATGAACCGTCTCAATTTTTGCTGTGGGGGGAGGCTGAAAGCATGCACGAGGTTCTGCAGCTAAGAATGGCTGAATCACAAGCTTGTAAAATATAGATTTTTGCTGAATTTTTGCCACAACTTCCAAGCCAGGACAGCAGTTGGCAACAGATACATAAAGTGAACTTCATTCCACATGCACTGGTAGCGATGCTACATGACAATGTCCTTATCCTGTGTGTTGATGTTCTTTGACAAACATAAACCTGGATACTCCAGTCTGCAATTATTTGCTAAATGTTACTAGCCTAGGGTGGCTCATGCCCTTATGTCCAGGGCAAAACCCAACATGCCTTGGCTTCATTATGCCCAACCATAGTGCCTTTTAACTTTGCAAAATTCAACGGGAGAAAAATAAAATTTGAATGTGGGCAGTGACTGAACCCAGAACATTCCAGTTTAACGTCTGAGCCGTATGCATTATAATTCCAGCTTTTGTCCCCAGCTTTCCAGGTATTGATATGAAAAGAACAGGAGCTGTGCAGCCATGAGGATAACTACTATCTTGTTGAACTGAATCCAACGCATAGTATTTCCAGCTCTACTCTTCATACCTTACACATTCTGGGATGTTTCAAGAAAGGCCACAATCTCTAACTGAGGTAAAGTAGCCACCGATTCCCGTATGGAAATGATGCCGTAAGAGTGCGTACTGAGCGAGCTACTTACCACTTACTGCCCATAGTGCGCAAACACCAGTTCGTATGTCAGTCACTAACAAAGTTTTACGGGTAGCCTTGGTCAAGGCTTCAAGTTGGAAAAAACTGAGAACCATGTTCAATCTAACGTTAGGCCCACGTTCCATGTCGTCAAACCTTCTGAAGCAACATTCTCTCTTTGAATGCTGCTTGAATCTTCCTCTTCGATGAAGCGTAGCTCATTCACTTTGCAAAAATATCTAATTTGATTCACTTACAATAGAATTTGTTGTCAGAACTAAAGCAGAAAAAGAGGACAATTCCAACTCACCTTCCTACGCTCAGAAAGGAAACTAAAAGAAGGAAGAGCCAGGGTTGCCATGCAAGCAGTCTCTAGTTTTCGCACTCAATTTCGTCTCAATTTCGCGCATTCTGCCAGTAAAACTAGATCGTCTAAAATAAAAATCTAATTTGTTAGAAAAAGGGTTCTTATTTCTTATTTCACCAGATCGCATGGGTACTTTTGCTGAAGACTGGGCATGGAGATCAGTGAGGTCGATGAACACGGGGCGCAGTGGTCGTAACCCAGGCAGCGCGAGAGTGGAGGATATTTCACATTCCCATGGTAGCAACTCGATGGGTTCTGTGTGGTAGACCGCGTCTTGCATGGACAAGTCAGTATATAGATAGAAAAGTTTTCTACTTCTGTATATGCATACACACAATCCCATTCCCTTGTGTGTTTGTGTGCCTATCCCGTGCTCGAAAATTGTCCTTGAAGCCCTTGTCTCAGCTCTGTTCTACGTGACATCGAGCCCCCCCTATACCGCGTGTCGCACTAAATGTGTGATCTGCCATAGAGATATAAATTTGCATCGTCGTCCACCGATCACCTTTCCAACAGTGATTCAAGTGCACTTGGTGTGACGTGAGATATTAAGGTTGCATTTCCAGCGCGGGACTGAAACTGTTTCTCGATGCTATCTCGAAGTGCTAATTCCGCATAGGCTACAATATTTCATTGCGGAAAGTTTATTGTGTCAGATAGTTAATACCATAAAAGCTACTATAAAGGGACCGGTAGTTAGAGCTCTCTGATAGGAAGCAGGTATAGGGAATGAATCGGCACCTTCTGCCCTTTTAAGCCGGACGAACGTGGCTATGCCACGTCGGATGATCGCAGTGACGGCAATAAATTTTTTCCCTCTCTCTCTTTCCCTCTCCCGTCCAGATCCCAGGTAGTGCCTTGCCCCGCTCCTCCTCTATTGTATCCAAGCCCGCTGAAGAAACCTGTATCAACATGGGAGACAAGAAGGTCGTGTTCGTTACGGGAGGAGCCGGCTACATCGGTAGCCACTGTGTCCTGGAGTTGTTGAATGCGGGCTATGACGTTGTGGCCATAGACAATTTTGCCAACAGTGTCGGAAAGGGGGACCATGCGAAAAGTTTGGAACGGGTTGAGAAGCTGACGGGGAAGAAAATCACATTCCATCAGGTGGATCTCCTCGATGAAGAAGCGCTCAAGAAAGCTTTCACTGAGGTCAGTCAAAAAAAAAAGTTTCTTTCAGAAGGAGAAAAATCATCACAGCTGTTCATAGTAAGGAGACTTGAGAAAGGCGATCCAGGATCTCTGTACCAGCCCACCTTCAGCTTCAGCCTGGGCTTGGTCGAATAGGTCTTCGGGAACTTCTTTCAAATTTTCTTCTATGCTTTTGATAATGGAGAAAGGGAGATCCACTCGTTCCAAGAGGTCTTCGGAGAGGAAGTCATCGTAGATGGTCTTGGCGAGGCGCTCCCTCTCTGATCGATCCGCCAGGCCTTTGTAGTCGTCACAGCGTAGCCAGAAGTTAACCATGAGTTCGCTTAAGCTTCCCAATCTCTCACGACAAAATGACAGGAATGCATCACGACACACATGGTGCTTGAGGCATCGAACTAGTCCACCGGGTTCCTTCAAAGCTCGCCTTGTTGTCGGAGAAACACTCGCCATGTTAAGATTGGCTCACCAACAACACGATTAGGAATGTGGGAAAAAAATCGGCGTCGATGCCTGAAACGGGACCCGTTCGATAACGTGTGACATCGTTCACCTGCTTAGAAGTGCGCACACACACACGCTCAGATTGAGGAGGCTCTCTTGACTACGGTATTTCTCCGCCCCCTTTCCATGCGCTAACGAGAGGTTCCGAAATAAACCCACATGTGGAACCCTTCCCCCTCCCCCCCTTCTTTTTTCTCCCCTCTCTCGTGGCATCATGACAGACCCGGTATCCATGGTGACGCCAGATGAATCCAGGGCGGAAACGAAAGCCCTTCCTCTTTTTTGTTTGATATCTGCCTTCTTTGGTCGTTTCTCTTTCATAGCACATAAGTTGTCAGCTATTGGATAATCACACTGAAGAAGCCTGAAAGGAAGTGCTACGTGACATGTTGCGCACGTAGTTTCGAAAGAAGTGCAACTATCGACAGCTTGGCAATTAATATTTTACTGGTACTGGTATTAATCTATTACACATTATTTCGATGATACAAGGTTTAGTCTTCCTTTAACCTGTATTGCAATCACTATGCTCATAAGGGAGAAATGACTGACGCGTTTGTCCCCATCACAGAGGAAAGTGGACTTCGTGATTCACTTTGCGGCCATGAAGTCCGTGGGAGAGAGCATGGAGAAACCCTTTCTTTACTACAAGAATAACCTCATTGGGACCATTAACCTATTGGAGGTGATGAAAGAATCCGGTGTGAAGAACCTGGTCTTTTCCTCCAGCTGTACTGTATATGGGAACCCGGAGAAGTTGCCGATAACGGAGGAGCATCCGATCGGACGAAATCTCACGAATGTCTACGGCAGAACCAAGTATTTCACCGAGGAGATGCTTCGGGATCTTAGCCACACCGACCCCGTAAGTATCTCGACCCCCCAATGATTTCATGACGAAAATTCTCATTTCTCTTCATTCATGTATTCATTCACTTGTTGGTGCCGTGGCTCCGTTGTGGTAGGAAATAAGGACTCCCTATATCAAGTTTTGCCCTTCGCCCCTTGACATGTGACAGTGTTGGGCAATACTTGTACTCAAGTATTAAAATCAGTTTACTTTGTAAGTATGGCAGTGGCGGTTCATCAAGGGAGGCAACAGATGCCCGATCTCCTAAAAAATTCTCAAGAGGCACTTGCCCATACAATTTGAAAATATCCATTAATATATCAAATGTCTGATAAATATCTGAGAACCACTAGATTCATTCTCAATTGACGCAAAACGAGCGAAGTCTGGTCTCAGACAGTTGACTCCGGCCCAGAATCGCGTATGGGAGGCCTCCCCTGGCTCATACACAATGCATAGGGGTATTCCGTAGCACTAAAAATGCAGTAGTATACGAGAGCAGAGAGTCCGGCCTCACTTGTCAGCTTTGCGCATCAGCTGGTGCCTACGAGCAAGAACTAGCATGTCTTTTGGCTCCTTTACCTCGAGAAGAGAGCTGTTCATTCAAAAGTTTCAAATTTCGCGCTGATTTTGCATTATTTTGATTCAATGTAAACTATCAACATGAAACGTTTTCTCGCTCAACCTCTTATTTAGTACCTGCCAATTCAAGAAGTGCGACTCACCAGGGAAAGATTGCCCTTGGCACACCTTTCTGCTTCATGCTCCCATTAATACTACAATGATTGCTCATTATGAAGATCATGTGCTGGCCTCCCCAGATTTTTCGTCCACGAGCCACCACTGAAGTGTGGGCATTGAAATATGATAAAAGCAGAAAAGAAGGTTATGCCATCGAACTCCCGTAACTATTTCCACACTAGAAGCGTGACCACCTGGATGTCTGACGTCAATGTCATGATGGCATCTTTCAGGAAAAAAAACCTGTGACTACCCTCTAGTGCACAACAAGTACTTTGTAAATGAGTTTAAGTACATAGGTACAGGTTGAGTACTTTTGCTTGTGTACATTCGAGATTTACTCATGCTACCACCGCTCAATTATTGAGTCATTAGTGAATGATAGGTGGTTTGTGCCCATTCTCCTCAAGGATGGAAATTTGCAGGGTGATACAAGGGGTATTCTGATTTTTTTTGCAATACATGCAGGAGTGGAATTTCATAAACCTGCGATATTTCAATCCTGTGGGAGCTCATCCATCAGGCGACATCGGAGAAGACCCAACCAAACCCTATGCTAACATCATGCCTTACATAGGTCAGGTGGCAGTGGGAAAGAAACCCTCTCTCATCATCTTTGGGAATGACTACTCTACACCTGATGGCACTTGTGAGTCACAATGTTCACAGGGGCATCCAAAAGTAAAGGGGAAAACTTATTTATTGAGTAGATTTAAGATACATATATATGAATGTAGGCATGGTTATCTTCTACATAATCTTCCATGGCTGACACACTTATTCTCATGGTGAAGCAGTTTTTTTTTTGTGTACTATATATAAAGAATCTTTTGGGCTTGGCATGCTAGACAGTACAGACTGCCTTGTTGTATCATCACATCATTGTTGAAATGCCACCCTTAAAGGACTATATTCAGTTTGCAATAACAGTTCACCAAGAATTTCCAGAGCAGCAAACCCAACCAAAGTGTGATTTTACAATTGTTTTGGTTTAACTGATAATAATTTTAAACAGAAGTCTTTGCCATGAGATATGAAACATCTAGTTAAAAGTCCTTTTAAATAAATCAATGTACACTTATGGATAAAAAGAGCTCTTAGCCTAAAGACCATATTATCTCACCTAAATGAGGTTTCAACATGAGGTTCAAGTTACTCATCAGTTACAGTCTTTGGCTTATCATGTCAAATTTTCCTCAAACCCCCCTGCATTCTAAGAATTTTTAAAACCCTTCTTTTCAAAAGGATGAACTTGTACTCCCAACTTTTGCTGAAACAAAATGAAGGAATAAAAAGGTATGTTATCCTTTTTGGTTAGGTGTCAGGGACTACATCCACATCATGGATCTGGCTTCAGGGCATGTGGCTGCTATTAGGAAACTGGAGAAGGAGCATGTCAAGTGGAGAGTGAGTCTTCTACCTTTATTAATATTGTCTTTGTTCTGCATGCCACTAATCAATTCAGCTACCATGACCTTTTAGTGATTTTCTCATGACCTTTTAGTGATTTTCTATCTCTTATGGAATGCAGTCAACAAATAGGAATTTTATACAACTATATTGCTCTGAATGTTCTATCCTTCAAAATTTTACATTGACATATCAGTGTTAAATATTTTGGTGAATTCATCTTGTTCTGATATAGGAAGGCTGTCTCATTTACAAAGACTATCTCACAATCTTGCCATGGAGCAGTTAATGCAATCCAGAGCCAAACTAATACAGGGTGTCCCAAGTAGTCACAGGACAGTAACAGCTTCTTCACTTTGCAGGTACATTGAAGGCAATGTGAAGTACTTGACACAACAAGAAAATGTATGATTGGTGCGAGAGTAGAGATGGCTTAGATGTATGGAGACAACTATAATTCATTGAGAGATTTAGCTTGATCTTAAAGTATTACAATGCAATGAGCTTCAGTAAGTATACTGCTGCCCTGCAACTTTTGGGGACACCCTGTTGAAAATTCCTTTGATGCTCAACAGGGCTACAATCTAGGCATAGGCAAGGGACTGTCAGTCCTGGCTTTGAAGGATCTCTTCGAAGAAGTAAGTGGAAAGAAGGTGAACTTCACAATTGGACCCCGTCGTCCCCACAACGTTGACCTCCCTGTCCTTTATTGTGATGCATCTCTGGCCATGAAAGAGCTGGACTGGAAACCACAGGTCATGGACCATAAGCAAATGTGTAAGGGCTCATAAATGTGCTGTACTTGGCATGATATGTATGGCTTTGGGTTGCCACAGCGCACAGGTTCTACCATGTGACACGAAGGATAGGGGGAAATCGGCAGGGCATGTTACAATGATTTTGGATTGAGCTTGCACATCGCAGTAATTTAGCATCTGTGTTAGCAACCACGAGTTGAGATAAATTTTGACGAAACATCACCTATCTTCCAATTACGATTAAGTTTTACCATTAGTAGGGACTTAGAAAGTAATGAACATGGAAAAGTGGGCATATTCAATCCAAAATCACTCTAAATGTTATACGTGTGGGATGAGAGAAAGAGGAAATCTTGGTCGGCTTGTCTTTGGCAGACTTACAACATGGGCACAGGGCAAGGCGTGAGTGTGCTTCAACTCGTAGATGCATTCCAGAGATCATGTGGAATCAAGATTCCATATGAATTCAAACCCAGGCGCGAGGGTGACATTGTTGCCATGTACGGGAATGTGAGTCTTGCCAAGGACGAGCTTGGCTGGAATGCTCAATGCTCTCTCGAACAGATGTGTAAGTGCTTTCTTTTGCATGTCTTGATGTGTTTCTTTTAGGTGCATATAGATGCAATAGTGATGCACAATAAAAACCACTCACACTTCTTTTTGAGTTCACAAGCTGCATAATGTCTGCATGCAACACTTGTGTCTTACCCTCATTCTGCACTGTACAGTAGGATGATTTTGGAAGTTTTTTTTTGTTAAAGATGTTCCCAATATGACATTCTACATTAAGCCTATTTTCCTTCACAGGTGAAGACTTCTGGCGTTGGCAGAGCAAGAATCCCAATGGTTACTTGACTGAAGAAGAAGTGGCAGCCATGAATGGGAAATGATTTAACACATTCCAATTTCTGATGCACTTGTTTGGGCAAATATGGAATGGGTCTTACGGTGAAAAACAAAATGAAAATGGTGGTATTGGCAAAAAAAACTCCATTCATTTCAGTTTCAAAGCATGGCTTCAACATGGGCTTGTCTCCAAGTTTGGAGCTATCAATGGTCCTATCTCTCTCAACTTTTCCAACAATAATTGCAGCAGGACCAATTCATCATACATTCAAGGTCATTTTGAACATAAAGGAACAGATCAATAAATAAATACAGCTAACCCTGCATCACTTTGCACCTCTTGGGCATTCCAGACCACAATATCTCTCCAGCCATAACTTCAAAAATCCATTCTTTGGCACCAAATCCTCATTCTTATAGCCCAAGACATTCAAACTCTTTGGATGATGTAACATACCTTCACTACCTCTGTATAAAGGATAATTTAAGAAATTCATGCACAGTTTTCAAATGATTGCACTTGGCATGTTGTACTGAGGTATTCAGAATCCAAAACCCTAGAGTAACAAAGAAATGAAGCTTATCATTAGTATCTATATCTCAATAGCTTTACAGAATATCTTGTCTTGCAACCGACACCACAGTCATTGATGGCATGAAAGTAGGCAAACAGAGCATCATGAAGGCTAAGTATCCATTTAAGTAAGGTATACTGAAAACAACAGTAGGTCTTTGCTTCCATCAGAGCCAACCTGAGAGAGAACATAATATGGTAATGAAAACAAGATCTTAAATATTTTTTAAAAGTTGGAGCACATAAAGAAATCAAGGAAGGGGTAGTAAATGAAAAAGGCAGTACTGATATCTTTCTATTGCAATTGCTAAGAATGCAGAATGCCAGCATCAGTTCAGGTTAAAAAATGCACTCATATCGGCAACAAAGAAGTCTCTTGAGGCCTAAGCATCACAAACAGAAACCAAGTATTGAGTGAAAGTTTTCACATCTCAAGCAGGCAATTACAACAAAAAAAGTCATTACACTTGGGTCTAAAGGGCCCCAAAAAATGCCAAGCTCTATGGTCATGAAAAGGGAAATAAACTGCATAGATTCTCAAGATGGAAAACAAAACAGTAATGTTCTCACTGGGGTGTCTAAAGTTTTCTTAAAGTGTGAATTCATTTCCTGAAGAAGTTTTCTTATATTAGAGCATAAAAGGTTAGTCCCATTTTATGTTGACTCCATCAACATATATGATATTGGAGCATTCTCAAGAACATTGAACACACTACAAATTAACCCTTTCATAGTAGAGGCAATCTTCATCAAATCATGCTTAATGTAAGAGTGGATATGATCCATTAAATGCCAAGAGTTTGCCATGATACTTCTCATTGAAAAAGAACATGAATTTGCTCCAAGCTGTAATGAGAATAGGAAAGAGAGACCATTGCAGGACTAGGATAAAATTTGTTTCACTTTCTTAAAAAAACAGAAGGAACTGGGAAAGGCAGGATGAATACAGCAGCACCTTTGAACATCATATAAACTACTACATCAAGGTAGGGCAAGGCCCTGAAACCCATGTGAGGAGAGCTGGGCCTGGAAATACAAATTCCTGCCTTCCTCACCCAATGCCATCAATGCTTCCTTGGATGCATGCCTACAAGGAAAAGAAATCAGGTTATCTTGGTTTGTAGGACTTTTTATGCCAGAACATGGATGAATACCAGAATGTGACTCTGGTTGGTCAATGTAGCTTCATCATGCAACACGGTCACCTTACCAAAAGAATGAATTGGCTTTTCAGGGAAGGGAATCAGGACATGCTGAGTAAGTGATTCCAGTCATCGTGCACAAGGATTTTTCCAGTGACGTCAATACTGGTACATTCTAAACCAAGGGTGGCCATACCAGTTATGCTAGCAGGCTACACAAGCAATGAATATTCACTATCCGTTTTTCAGATTATTATAGTCTATTACTAGGGTGGGCTGTTGCCAAGTATCCAGGCAGTTAGGTAAGCCCATTGTGCTCACCCAGAGATGCGATTTGATTCTAATGGCTACTCCAGAGAGATGATACTGATAAACTACCTTCACCATTGAGGATCTCTAAAGACATGAACCACCATGTGACATGCCGGTGTGTCACGCGATGCCAGATCAGTGTTTTGCCTCTTGGCAGTTAATAAGTTATGTGCCATATCTAAACACAGAGGGGCAGATACTCTGGCATGCAGATAACACTGTTGATGGGACCCATATCCAACTCATGGATCATAGTCACCTGGTCTAAACAATGAATACTCAAGAATAGAGTGCCCCCCAGTACCTAGGTCAATTTATCAGATAATGTACCATCTCAAATGCATATACATACCTGATAATTAAAAAAAAAAACTAAATGGGCCTATTTGAGGAACCAATGATGTTTTTTGTCAATGAAAATTCTGACAAAAAATTTTCAATATTCACCAAGTAGGCAAAAACTAAAATTCTGCATTTTTCATGGATGAAAAATGAATGAGAATGAAAAATAAGGACGTCGAGGATGAATATTACTTTTTGTCCCATCCTGTCAAAACATAGGTAGACATTCTGCACACTATTGAAGTCAAAAGTGAAAAAATGTTAACTCTTTCACTGCTGAATTTAAACCTGATATCCCTTAGTTGAGAATGGAAATGACAACTGCAGTGAAAGAGTTAAATTAATGCATTAATATTTATATCAGAAAAAAAGTTTTCTGTTTCATACCTCTCAGTATTCTTGCTCACATTTCACATTTCCCATCCATGCTTGCATGCAGCCCAGGCACAAAGTCATATGAAAGGTGTCACATGTCCTCCAGGCAGAGGACACAAGAATGTTAATGATCAGGAGGATGTTATGAAGTTTCCTCCATAATGTGATACATTTATGGAAATAAGAAAAATAAAAGTTTCATTTTGTTAAAACAATTTTTCAAATACAAAAAATAGTCAAAAACTTACTTGAAGAAAAAATTTGACTGAAATGATGAAACCCTGACTAACATAAAATTATTAATTTTTCTCTGACAAATATATGACAAAAACAAAAATTATGCTGATGAAAATTAAAATAAAATTCTGATAGGGTGATAAAAACATTGTGAGGAACAGAGTGGGATTAACAGCTATGTTGATGTATGCAAACAGAAAATGTCAGGTCCTGATCACCTATTAAGTTTAGGTTTCACTATTTGAGTTTAAACCTTTTTTTGAAGCATTGGGATAATCATGGTGCTAAAGATAAAGCAGTATTGGGAAATCAATTTCCTCTGTACCCAAAAGCATGCCATCCTCCACCCATTAGCTCATCCTCCTTTCCCATGGTCTTTAACTTTCTTCCCCTTACCAGTTTAAGCAACATGTTGCCAGTCTTTTTGAACATTTCAACCCAGTGATGTACTGTCAACTTGAAGCAGCCAATGTGCTTCACAACCACAGCCAAAGAAAGCTTGGGACCAAGCTTAAGGGTAAAGAGGAAAACAATTTCCCAATGCTGCTTTATTGTTAGCACTGATAATCCCCATGCGTTGAAAAAAAAGGTATAAACTCAAAAAGTGAAACCTAAACTTCATGGGTGATCAGGACCTGCCATCTTCTGTTTGCATACATAACCACAATTGCTAATCTTGTTCCATTCCTCAGATAGACATGTTCAGTTTTTTTTTGTCAGGTCTGAACATGAAAAGTTGACCTACTTTCAGTTCCTTAGAGAGAAACAATAAAAAAAAATACTAATCCTCAATTTTCTGAGACTGTGAAGAGTATCATTACAAACATAAGTCCTTTTTCTCATGGTAGTCTTGATTTTTGCAACAAAGGATGCTAGGTGTTTTATGATGATACCACATAGGGATAGCAGTTGCCTAGTGGAACCATTTTGGCCATGGCTTCCTGGAAGTAGAACCTGAAGTTAGCTTAGAGAAGTAAACATCAGAGCAGTCCTGATGAAGACCAAAAGGTGATTGATTTTTTTGCAACACATTAACCCCTTAATGAGCAAGCCTGAGAAATTCTCAGGGTGTGAAATCTTAGAATTTTTGGAAATCCTGATGAATTCTCATGATGAGTTGGTGCAGCTACTCATTTCTGGAAGCCCCATTAATTTCTCATGTGGTGTAGTCATGTGAGAATTAGTTCCAATGTGCTCCAATATTTGTCTTGTTCCATGATTGGTGACTCCACATTTTTCATTGCAGATTTTGGCATTTAGATACCAATAGTTAACTTGAGAAGTCAATGTTCAACTTACAAAAAAAATCTGCTGGTGAGGGGTTGTCAGAAAACTTTCTGGTGAAGGGGTTCACACAGGTAATATACAGTACATGACATGTCCAATAATAAAGGTTCCCAGATATAATGCATGCATCTTCCAAGCCAGAAATGGATACAATGGTGTTTGGCCCATTCCTTGATAACACTGTAAGAGAGACTAACCTGACAGATGGGGAAGGATCAGAATGGGCCAGATATGAAAGAGGTTGGATGGCCTCCTTCCCCCGCAGGTATGACAGTGCGACACAAGCACCCTGGCGGTCCCTCTCATCTGGACTTTCCAAGTTTCTCACCAACTGGGATATCACCTTTTCACCAATAATAAGAAAAAAACACATTCTAATTCCTCTGTTGTACCTGTGCTCAAATGGAAGTAGCTACTGAGTGCATCAGAAATCTCTACTGACCTGTTTCTTCATGGAGGGGGAGGGCAGAAGGTGGTGGAAATAGGACTTAGCAGTGTGTGCTAAAGAAGGCTTAGGCTGAGTGAGGAGATGAGTGAGAGCAGCCAAGACTTTGCCTGGTGGAACCATTTTGGCCATAGCACTAAGGCTCTTTTCCAAGGCTTCCAATGATCCACTTCGAAGGCATTGCAGAAGATGCGCTACAGATGCAGAGATTGTGCCTGCTTATCTATCTACAAATGAAGGCTCTTCCTACATAAGAAAAAGTACATACCTTCTTCTGACAGATCCTGCAGAAGCCGGGGGAAAGGCTGCTCCTGAGCCCTCAAGTGGTTTCGGAATTGGTACACTGTGATGGGTGCCTCAGCATCATATCCCTCTGTCTCCAATATGTGTTCCGAAAATAGCTCCAGAGCTTCATACATTACCAACAAGAAGCATATCTTGAGTTTCAGGTTGCATATGAGTTTTCCAGATTTTTAATAGAAAATTTACCTCGAGTTCGAAGTTCAGGGTCCCTCTCAGCAAGTGCAACTGATGCAGTTGCCCTTAATCCATCTACCAACTGCTGTGAGGTGATAAGGAGAGCCTGTCCTTTCTCACTCACTTGATCCCACAAAGCCTGCAGTAATAAACAATAACTTCTGGATACTTTTTTCATTCCCATGAAGTCCCCCACCAGTCCAAGTACTTAAGAGTTCTACAAAGTACAGTCAACTCTTGATATATCACCATTGTTGGTCTCAGCTGATTTTGGCGCTATATCAAGGGTGGCGCTAAATTGAAATGCATGGCTTTAAAATTAATTAATCTATTTCTAATTTATATAAAATATGCACAAATTTTCACTTTAATCCACGTATGCACAGCTTTGAAAAATGATTGAATGAAAAAAATGATTTTATATATTCCATCCATGGTTAAATCCAATAATTTTTTTAAATGAGTATAACTCCTATGCACCGTCTACTCACATTATCACCCAAAAACATAAAAATTGTTCACAAAGTTTTGCTGACCTTCGACCACATACATCTATCTCTAACGACACACTTCCAATTTTTCCTTCACACTTAAAACACTTCTCTTTCCCATCCCTGGATAGTGAATAAACGTGAACTGTCAGCTGGAGAAGCTGCATACAATCTGAATGAGACATTTCCATTCCCCAAAAGAAAAGACAGGATTAGGCTGGATTTGGGGACCCTCTAATCCCTGGAGGTCCATTCTAACGCTAAGATATCCCTCACAATCTAGCTATCATGGGATTGAGAGGAGCAGCTAGCAGCCTTAAGTTTTAAAGTTTTTTTTAAAGTTTTATATGTGGTGCAATGATCGTGGCCAGTACAGTATGCTGCTTGGTGCAATATCAAGTAAGACTTCCATAGAATATGACACATTTGTGCAAGTGAAGGTGATGGCGGATGGTGGCTTGTGAGGGTGGTGCTATAATGAGGAGTGCCTATGATATGTCTATAGGGATGATTTATTCTCAGGAAGGAGTTGGTGACAAGTGAGAGTGGCATTATATCGGGTGGCACTATATCAAGGGTTGACTGTAAGTCATAAAGACCTCTGCAAATGATGCATCTACTCAATGAAAAAAAGTCACCCACTTGAAGATCTGGAAATGACTGAAGTTCTCCAAATCCAGTCGCATTAGGAGCACTCTTATTCTTAATATGCTGGACAATCCGAGCCAGGATTCTTCCTTCTCTTGTAAGTCGGTTCAATGCAACACGCTCTTTGGTCTTCAGGGGTCCAAATGATCCCAAGCACTGAATATATAAAACCATTGATATCCTTCAGTTTATGATAACACCTCATGTGTGGAATAAGCAGTTTCTCTTATTTTACCTGGAAATGTGAAATGCAATTTTGGAGATGAATGGAGAGTACGCGGTCAAGAGAGAAAGAACCCGTGAAGGTGTCTGAAGGCTTGGCACAGCTCACATCCCCAGAGCACTCATCAAGATTCTGCTCCATGCTTAGTTGCCGAGTCAGAGAAGCAATCCCTGAATCATTTGTTTTGGATGTCAGGTGAACATCTCCTTCCTACAAAAGAAGTTGTCCATAAAACAGAATATAAGTTTGACAGCTGTATCAAAGGTGATGGTTCTTCCCTTCTAGGAGAGAAGCTTCATTTACCTGCCGAGATTCCTCATCTTCAGATTCAGTATCACATTCAGCATCAAGGAAGTCAAAGCATTCTAGGGCACTTTCAATGGAAATGCTCCCATTCTCTTCTCCTTCCATTGTTGAACTCCCACATACACTCTGCCAGACACAATAAATGATATCAGTCATAGGGATTATATAGTGCTCATACCTGCAACCAACAAGGGTTCAGACAGAAAAAAGTTTTGGGAGGCCTAGCAGACGTCAAAAAGCCTGTATTAATGGGGGGGGGAAGGGTGGTGTTAAGTTCCACAAGGTTTTCCTTGGACAAATTGAGATAATTTCTTCAGAATAGTTGAGCACTTTTTTAAGTGCTACTAGGAGGTGTGACCTGCCCCTATAACATTATCAATTAATAGATACCACTTCAGTGGCTTCTGCCTCAGTTTGCATCAAGTTTGAACACATGGGATGTCCAAGAAATAATGGTGCAAAAAAAAAGTATTAGAGAGACAAACGGTAAAGTGGTATACAATATCTACTTCTCAAATGTAATACACCTCCACGAGATGACCATCATTTGCTATTACAGCATGTAGTCATGGGAACATATTAAGAAAATTGTGTATGTATTGTGGCAAACCTTCCAATTTGAGAATCAGAGATGTTATCAAAGCCATTCCACAAGGGTACCTTGCAAATGCTATTGAAGCAACAAGTATGTGTTATAATAGTAAATGATGGTCATCATGTGGAGGTGCATTAACCCTTTCACAGTCACACACTGAAATATCAGTAGTCCTCCAGGGAGGTTTTTGCAAAACTGGACTGTGAAATGGCTAAACTTTCAGAAGTTGGTATTGTATACCACTTTAAAGTTTGTTTCTACTGCACAGCCACAGTCAGGATTTATTGAATTTGCGAATTGGCAAGGGCAAAGCTTTCATCTTCATTTCCAATGAAGGAAACCCTATCATCAGAAGGAAGTGAAAAATGAAATGAAAAAAAGTATGGAGATATAATGCATAGAAAACTCCTTTCTGCAAGTTTCTTCCTATCCCATGTATCTAGCAAGATGCTTTCCTGCCTCCCTCATCATTCCTCCTCTCTTTCCTCCCTACCTTTCTCATCCTTCCCCATTACCCTTTCCCTTAACCCTTTCATCCCTTTTAACCCTTTCTTCATAAGGATCATATCTTTTGAGACTGCTCTTGCAGTTACCATTGAACAAAACCTGTTTTATATGGTACCACTTAATAACTCTCAAAAAGGGCTCTTTGGTGATGCATCATTCGTTCAAACAGGTTGTAGTTCAGGCAAGCTGGATCAAAAAGAAAAGTTGTGACCTGATATGTTTGATTTTTTGTGAAATGGAATTTTGGACAAAAAAGTAAGCATTTTTTTTCTTTTTTTTTGGAAAAGGGAAAAATATGCCTGCATGCTGCAAGAATGGACGGATAAAATTGGGACAAAGGCCAAGTTTTAGGGGCTCCCCATGTGTTAACAATGGCCTGTTATTCAATATTTTCAGTTAATGAATTTTGTAATTTAAAAATTCCATTTTTGAATATATGAGTGAATATTTGACATTTTCTGCAAGCTCTGTCTTTAGCTAGGCCTGTTCAATAGAAAAAGCAGTGAAAAAATTTCCTAGTTATTCATTTTCTTAATTCAGTCATGAAAGGGTTAACTGAAGGTGCTCTGCATCACAGGTAACTGATATTCCATGAAAACATTGATAAAATTTCAAATCAACCAACATTTTGAGGTACTACCTTTCTTCAACAAAGGAAAGGCACATATGTCCTTCCAATAATACAAACGTCTTTCTCAGCAGATAGAAAATGATACAGGATGAACAATGGAACTGATGAGATTGTCTGTGGAGAAAAAGCTAGAGAGTTCACATGTGTAACTACCCACCTCCAGAGGTGTGCAACTAAATATCCTTTATCAAGTATCTGTCCACATCACTAGACTAAATCCTTCAATACATACATGGTCCTTGACCCCCGTTTCAGGAAGTGGTTAAAAAAGTGGAGTCTTTCCCACAAGATGGTAGTGCAAGCTGTAAGAGGCCCCCCCATGGTACTTGCACCAGGCACAGGCCCATGGCATGATAGCAGTGTCAAGCCAATGAGGTTAGCTTCTCTTTTGTGCAGTATTAACCAAATGGAAGTAACAGTACATTCCATGACAAAGCCCAAGGAAGTTGATTTCATATACAGGGTATTACATTCAATATTGCCTAGTTTCATTCTAACATACTTAAATAAACGTAATACAAGGGTCACTTGGAAATTAATGCATAATTATTTTTTTTCTCACTCTGTATTGAAAGTAATTACATGAAATTAATAAGGTAATGTCCATCAGGGCTTTGCAATGAACCACCTGTTTTTCAACAGAGTCACCATTATGGGCAATGCACTTTTCCCACCATTTTACAAGGGCACAAATTTCATCCCAATAGAAGCTCTTTCCCTGGTGATGAAGCAACCTTTGTACTGCATTATTCACATCCTCATCATTCTCAAAGTGGTCCTCTGTTGTCATCATTCATGGGTCCAAAGAGGTGGTAGTCGGACAGCACCAGGTCCAGACCATCAATTGGCATAGCACCCAAGTGGTGATACACCTCTGGAGGCTTTACACCCTCCCAACAAAGGAATTTAATTACTGCTCTCTACTTCTCATACACCTGCAGTATAGCAGCCATATTGAACGTGTCTCCTGCTGCTGTCTCCCAGTGAATATTTCTCAAACTTGCAAATTTTCAGCAGCAAAGTTCATCATTAATGCAGAAAATGTTAAATTAGCCCTGACATACATACATTTTGCATAAAAAATTATTGTGCATTACTTTCTGAGTGACCCTCATATATGGAAAAAGTGAGATGGCATAAACATATAGCAGTGTTTGAGATGTCCTCCACAACTCAGCACCCAATCAGCCATAGATCAATCAAAATGGCTTTGGGCAATTTGCAATTCTGACACCATACTCCTCTGTTTCTAATAAGCCCACTTTAAGTGACTATGCCTGGGGCCAGAAGCTCCTGCAGCCATAGTGAATCACAAACACCTTAAGAATTTATGTGAAACCCTCTAACCTTGATCATTTCTTCCAGCTCAACAATTTGCTGCTCCAGATGACCTAGTTCAGGATATTGACCTTGGACATCCTCCAAGATGCTGCTGACACGTTTCACTAAATCAGATACTCTACCATTCCGGATGCTTGTGCCATTAGATGTTGAGCTCAGAGAATGATCCATAGGCAGGCCAAGATAACGAAACTCAGACTCAACCATCGTGGCCAAGTGCGGTTTCTCATGATCACATTCACTTGTTTGCCTGGCATCTCGACCCTTTGCCAGGAGAGATTTCTCCTCTTCATAGCTCAGTTCTGGCTTCTTGGCCAAGTAGAAGTTGTCTCGATAGTCCAACACACACTCTTCTTCAGCACTGCTGGTCTGAGATTGCACACTGCAGGGCTCATCCCCAGAAGCAGATTCACGTGAGTCATAATTATCAGCATCAGCAATGTCACTGAGGGTGGGACTGGTACAGCTCGTGCGATGACTGTGAAGATATGCCTCATTCCCGCCATCACTTGGGACTGGGCTATCACACCCAATCAAAGAACTGCGGTTTGAAGCAGCACTTGAAGAACCCTGACTGCTCCGGTCCAGTGTGAGGCGACTGTCACCCATGGATGAAGATATCTGCAAAAGAGCAAAATCAGTGAAATGCAGGAAAATCATAAAAATCCATAAGAATATGAGAAGCAATCTCACAGTATTGCGAGGAGATGATGGGGTGTGATCAGGAGGTTGACTAGAGTCTATGATTCTCCCCAAAGAGGTGGTAGGGAAGGCAGGTGAAGAGGCAAAGACTGTGGACCGTGAAGCCAAGAGATCTTCTCCCACATTGTCAAGAGGCCTGATTAAACAACACATGGTAAGTTTTTTACAAGTTAGTTAGTCTACTTACAAAGGTAACCTGAACAATATAGTTGAATTTTCTCACCTCCATAGCACCAAGAGACTAAGCTTGAGCGAACCACTTGTATTAAGATTCACAGAAAGTGCAAGTGGACCAGGGGAAAAGAGGGAGAGGATGTCACACTTCTGGCTCCCAAGAAGAACCTGTTTCCCCAAGCGTCGCACTTCCTTGGCAGCAATTATAAGATTGTCTGCAAGACATCCATGGAAGCAAGCCTTTGGTCTATCCCAACTTTGGCTGCCATCCCTCCCAATCCTTCCTCGGGCTTTCCACTTTTGGTTTCCATGCCTCACCTGGACCTCAAACACATCTCCTGAACATAGACGAGCAAAGCCCTGGATGCCTGGTAATATAAACAAAAGAAAATCAACAGTTAAAATTATTCCAAACAAACAAACCTGACAAAAGAACAGATAATATACCTTTGATCTGAAACAAGAAGCTGCCCATCATCTCTTCAATTTGATGTTCTATTGAGCACATGGTGTCCAAGCATTCCATATAGCCTGACCGCACATTATGAAGAGCAGCTCCCTTCCGCTTCCCTTCAGATACAACAAATGCCTGTGCCATTGTCATGGTGCCATCTCTTAGCTTCTGATGTAGGTGATACTGGTCCTGTAGGTCCTCCAGATGGCTCACTTGATACTCTAAGTGCTTGAGGTGTCTCTCACAGGTTTTCAATTGCTAATGAAACAAATTCAAGTCAATGATATTAGCAAGGCATTTTCATAACAAAATATAAATACTTATGTCAAAACCATCAACATTCTATGACATGCATGCTGAAAAGCTGAAACTGAAAAGCTAATTAAAACACTAGTATAAATTTAATTAACTTCTTAAAGGTTTGACTTCTCAGCATTCTCAAATTTTCCATTTTCCTCTTCCAAACAAGTCTTGTCTTGTATGTCGAAGTTAAAAAAAAAATTAAGGATTATCCTGCCACAGGACCTAACCCAAGCAATAGGTATCAGCCTCCCATAGCCTGGAAAAAGGAAAGAAACACACACAAACAACCCCAAATGCTACAATACTTACTTTTCCAAGACAGGCCAGACAGTTAAAAATGTGTCAGGCTGAAGGCTTTACCCAAAGGGTATTGTGGTATATTGCTTTATCCTTCTTATGAAATGATGATCTTTATTGTAATTTGCTGATTTGCGAGCTCCTTTTTACTCTCAGTCCCTAGCAGATTGCTTGGACTTCACAGAAGAAATGCAATATATTGGTGGAAACACTGGAAAAATATGATGGTGCATCTTGTTCTGGACCTAACAGGGAGCCACTTTTGATAGAACATTCAAAGAGAAGTGAGGTACTACTCCAGTAATGGCTAGAGGGTGGCCATACAGGGGCTACCAGACTAATGCAATAGCACTTACACTTACACTGTTGGATAGATCAATATTTTTGTAGGTATCTTTCAAATTGTACAAAATGTGCCATGATTTCTTCACATATGAAGGATTTTTAATTATTTATACATGGCAACTATTCATGTTAAACTTTACCAAAGATTTTTCCACAACAAAGAATCATCTCCATTATAGAAGAGTATATAGAAGAAAATTAATTATGCAGCTTGAAATAGAACCATTTCCTGCTTATTTCCATTCTAGAGTGATTCCCTGAATTTAAATAATAAAATTGCTTCAGTAGGTTGAAGAGATCTGAGCCTAACTTTCAGAAGATTGTGATGCCAGTGTATCTTTCATTTCTCAATCCTGTTATGCACCAAGACTGGGGCAAATTAAGAAGTCTGCAAGGAAGAATTAGGAAAGACAATTTCAATCTTAATGATGGAAGATCACAAAATTCTAACTCAGATCCAGTGAACTCATTTAAATAGCTTTTACCATTCAATCACCCTGGAAAGAAGCAAGAAATAGTGCTACTTCAAATAGCAACATTAGCTTTCTGATATTCTTCCCAAGCATTCTATACAAGGGGAGTCCATCATTGGGAAACACCAATACATGTCTTTCTTCAATTTTTCCAAAAAGAACACCAAACAAGATGGATTCCATGTCAAACTTCAGCTGCTTTTGATATCGAAAAGGAAATTATCCTCAGTTGAGATCTTCATGGGATGACTTAATGTCAACATAGCAAGTATGATACTGTGTGATAGTCAATGGAAATAATGAGGAATGTTTTGGCACCATAGTGTATTTACCCTTCCCAGGGCTCTGGTTTTGAGAGCAGAGAAAAGTTGAGAAAAAGTATACCCAGGCTTAAAGCTCATTTATTGGGTTGTAACATATATTCCTGCCGTTTTTATATTTTGTTTGTTTTCACTCCATATTTTTTAAGTTTGGCAAAGTGGATATAGTTATTCGAAAGAGCGTTCTTTCCTCTACAAACTTATTGCCACCATTTTTCCGAATAACTTAATTTGACTTAACTTTCAGGTATTTGAAATGGAAATACCAGGCGGCAAGAAAACCCATTTTCGACACTTGCTTTATTTC